CACTTTAGGATCTTCACAGAGTATCATCCTTGGGTTGGACTCTTTGAATTGCTTCGTGTTTTAGAGCGTTGACTTGTTCCTGAGCGAACAGGTTGATTTTGGACAGAAGTAACTGAATATGATTCAGGGTTAGAGGGACATTCTCTTCGGAAATGTCCAGGTTCACCACAAATTAGACATAATCCTTGTGCAAGCCAGCAATCTCCCGGATGGTGTCTTTTACAAACATTACACTTTGGATGTTTCCATACCCTCATTTTGTTCATGGATGACGTCGATTGAATTGTCATTGATTTTCCCTTTTTCGAGTGAATGGCACAATCAATTTCTTGCAGGGGTCTCTTCCCATTTGAATTTGGTCGTTCATTTGGATTGACATTCTTATTCTTCAGACTTTCATAGTAATCACTTAGATCTTTTTCGGCTTTGGAGATTAGATCGTATGCCTCAATGAAATCCATAGTTTGAATAGTAGATACGTGCGGCCTGAGGTCAGGTCGAAGTCTTTTGCGAAACTCCTCAATGCGGTCCGCCGCTGTACTCACTAGCGTGGGTGCAAATTAAGCGAGATGGACAAATCTTTGTCGGTATTCAGGGAGTGTCATATCTCCTTGCTTTAATTCGATAAATTCAACACGTTTCTCTTCACGGAATCGAGCCGGTATATATATTCCTTCTTGAATGCCCAATCGAAGAATTCCCAAGTCCAAGGTTTGGGTGTGTTTGGATTTTCGTCAGTATGTTTCCACCATTCGTAGGCTTCCTTGCGGAGCAATTGAGATGCAAATTTTGGATGATCAACGAGAGGTATGTTCAAATTTTGTAGTACACGAGCGGTCTGCTCGATCCATTCAAGAGCAATTTGCGGTTCGGCAATTCGATCTCCCAGAAACTCCTCGGCACCACTATCTTTCAAGGTTTTGAAAGTGGTCAAACGAGGTTGTGGTGGAGGTGGTTGAAACACAGGGGCATTGTTGGAATGCATGAGTTCAACCCTTTCTGTGTTGTTAAGTGTTGACTCACAGGTTTTGATAATTGACAAACACAATTTATTAAGGTCAAGATCAAAGTGCTGCAACGACAAAAACGAAGACTTGAAGTGCCATTCCTTGAAGTATTCAAGAAGGTGCACAGGATTTTATTGAAGTCCGAGACACGTTCGGAGCGCCTAACGGAGGGCTCGGAGGAGTAGAAGATTTCCGAAGCTTTTTATTTATTTGAGTCGTAGGAATTTTTTGTAAGGATGACAAAAATATCTTCTCTCCAAAATTATTTTTATGAGAGTCAAAATAAAAATTATATTTATTTTTGGAGTTAGTTGAAAAATCTTTTTAACTGTTCAAAATAGTTTTATTGAGTTAGTTACAAAAGGTGTGCCAAACATTTATCAAATAATTATTTTGATATTATAAAATATTTTTGGTAAGCAAAAATATTTTATTCAAATATTTTTTTGTGTACATCGTTTGACACACAAAATAATTTTTGTACTCACTTTTACTCCCTTATTCAAATTCATTGAATAAGAGAGGAGGAGCGTTCTCTGATTCCCGTTGTCTTAAACAATGAGTGTTACGCCAATTCTGCTCTCCATCGCAACTGGCTTGGGCCCTTTGTGTTTGCGAATGATTTCTTCTTTTAATCGATTATACTTCTTTATTTAATCGATTATTGTTCAGCACATTTAATGAATCGATTTTTCCTCCTTGTTTAATCGATTAGCTGCTTGTTGCGTTGGATTGCTTAGGTCTTGTGTCTAATCGATTTTTCCTTTCCCTTTAATCGATTAGTTCACACAGACCCTTCTAATCGATTAATCCCTTTAATTTAATCGATTTTCCTTCAGCTGCATTGATCGTTGCTGATGATGCATTAATCGATTATTGGTGATGCATTAATCGATTATTATGCTGCATCTTTTCTGCACAGCTTCTTTTCTTGGACCAACGGATATATTTCTTCACCTCCTATTTAAGCATCCTTCCTTGGTCATTTCT